TAAAATGTCTCATTTACAGTACAAGCTAGAAGGCAGACTTTAATTTTTACACCTGTGGCAGTATGAGTATTTGCCCAGTTTCTTTCCCTTTTATCCCTACTACTGGGTGTCTATTCTTTTAATGTAAATAAGATAAGGTAATCAGATAGCCTTACTTAATCTTCATCATTTCCATTTATCAAGATTGTTCATATGTAGAATATTGGACACTTAATGTAGCACTACATAACTGATAAATCTGTAAATGAATTAGCACTTTCATATTGAAATAAGCCTGCTAGCCTATGTACAAAAATAGCAAAATGTTTGCTGTTTATAAAAATAAAAAATAAGGGATGTATTGGGGAAAATAATTTCAAGTTATTAATTTAAAATGAACTAGCAGTTTTGTACCTGGTGACTTGGTGGTGCAGTCACCTCTGGTTGTGACTTGAATTCGGATATGTAAAAAGGGGTTAGTGATATTTCATTGCTGCTAAAGAAAAAATAGCAACACCCTCCATGTCCTTTGTTTTTTTTAAAGATCTCACTGTATGAGCTAGAAAATGGAACAAATATGTACTGTAAGCACAAAGAAAAGTTATCCTCTCTAAGGCAGGTAAATGAGACGTGAAGTTCTTAAAGTCACTTGAAGTGTGTGGGTGAAACACCTACACATGCAATCTATTAAAAACCAGTGTCATTGGCTGATCTGGGCTATGGTATATGTAAATGCAATTTTTTTCCCCAAGTGTGCAGAATATTCTTTTTCCAGATCATGGTAGTGCAGGTGCACTACTCCTGCATTTCATTCCCCCTCTTTTTGCACTTGCAGCATTAGTGTGTGCTGTTGTCTGCCTGATCCAGACAGTGTATTTGAAGTTTTGCCAATCTTTCAGTTTTGAAGCCACAATTTTCTTCCTTCGAAGTTGCTATAGTAACTAGTATTTTAGCTAGAGAGGCAAAATACAGTTCCCTCTGGGACCACTATCAAAACCACTGTATGAAGAAGCCAGCAGGGAGAGGCTGTGAATGGGTTGGCTTAAATGCCCCCTTTTTCTTTTCTAAAAGCAAATCCATTGGCGTTTGATCTTGCCTTGAGATCATTGGTGTCAGGTCTTTGAAATCAAATGTTAGGGTTGTTTTGTTTTTTTTTCTTTAGGCTGTTTTTATATAAAAATGTCACCTGCTGTTACAATTGATATTAAACAAGCTACCTTAATTTAATGTAAGCCTCCAAAATTTAAATACAGGTTAAAAATAAACTGAGTTTTTATCTGTAAAAATGAAATGCACATATATATATATTATGATACTCAAAATGCAGTCTTCAGAAAATTGGTCTGTGTGGTGTGGTTTTTTGCATCAGCAGATTAGCAGCATTTGGTGGTGCTTTGGGGTTTCCCTGCTGAGCTGCCCAGCCCCAGGCTCTGCCTGGCTGCAGCAAAAGGGGACAAGGTGGGACACGGAGCCCTGGCCCAATACCAAAGGGACACTTGAAAAGCAAAGCACCCGAGGTGGAAAAGCCTGACTGCAGAAGCCTTGGATGGGAATATCCATCCTCGTGGTGGTGTGATACCTGGGGTGGTTGCTGTGCATCCTTAGGGGCTGCACAGAGCAGAACTCACTGGGGCTTTGTGACTGTAACTCATGGACACTTCCAGACGTGCCCCAGCCCCCAGGGAAGCTCTAGACAGGGTTTTATTTTTGTAGAAAAAGCTGACAGAAGTGCTTCCAGCATGCCTTCTCCTTGCATTGCTTGGGAACACCCAGTTTGACAAATCATTTCTGAGCATCTGCTGGTTGGGTATCTGCTTAGCTTCGCATGCATCCTATAAATGCAGGAGAGGCTTTGAGGGCAGAGGAGCCATTCTGGGCCTTGTGGCAGAAGATGTGACAGCAGCAGTGAGAAGGCTTCATGTATAAGGCAGATGACAAAACAATATGGGGAGATCACCAATTTTAGTGCTGTTGTCAGTTCTGGAACAATTCTATTTTACAAGTCAAGGGAAGAATTTTACCTTGGTGTGAGGAATACAGTCTTACTTCAAGGGTGCTTTTATGTGTCACTAGACTGGCTAGCAAGGAGCATATTTTTTAAGAATGGATCTAGAACTTTGCTTTCCTTTGCTCCAAGAAATGTATTTATATAAATTGCAAAACAATTTTGCATTGTTGTTGGTGGTGATAGCGCATTTTGTGATGCAATATATCGATTTCAGTGATACACATATGTCAAATTAAAAGCTGATCTTCCTCCTAGAACTTGCACTTATCCATTCCATTTTCAAGGATAATGCAAGTCTAAAGGAAGAGCTGGGAAATTTAAAGCCTCTGGTTTTTTTTCTATTATGGAAGATCTCCTTGGATTAATAAACATCTAAAGCAAATCCTTATCTTCACTTATTTCAGTGTGGTGTTTTGAATGTAGCTGTATCCTTAGAGTCCTGCTCAAATTGCACAGCTCTCAGGTTTGTATTTCCCTCCAAAATATTCCAAATGTAAGGCATAACCAGAGTTCTCTTCAACTGTGTTAAATATAAAAAAGAGGTATTTTTTTAAATGCTGACATACTGGGTTAATATTTTTCCCTTAATCACTGTCTTCAAAGAATTATGAATATGTATCAGCCTAGCACCACAAAGCTCTATTCCAATCTCCTGTAGCCTAGAACTGTTACTGAAAGATTTGTCAAGTCTGCAGTGGAATAATTACTATCTGCCAATAAACATGCAGGTGATTTTAATTATGTCTAGTAATGGATACCTGATAAGTTTTAATGGTTATTTTTTTCTGTGGAACCTTCTACATAGCCAGAACGAGCCAGGTGGAAAAGCTTTGTCTGCTGCTGATTTTCAGTTACTTTTCAGTCAGTATGTAACCTTATCTTAAATGGTGTGTCACTGGTTTGTGTATTTCTGCTTTTTCATAGCGAACTGCTGATGGTGGAAAGAAAGCACTTCAGAATGGGAAGCAGAGATTGCCATATTTTGCAGAGATTATAATAATCTATTATTGGGAGTTGGCAAATCAGAAACAGGATTTTATCTTGGGTATTTCACTGCTGCTGTACCTCGAAACAAACTGATGCCTGCAGCTTAGATTTGGCTTAACATTTAAAATAAAGAAATAGTAAACTAAATTAGAAAAATTGTTGGCCATTAGGCCTGTTAGGGAATAAGGGTTTTTTTTTTTTTTTGGCTTTTTGTACAACCGCAACAATTTTGGACTGCAAGAATTTCAAACTATTTTTCTGGAGCAAGATGTGGGGTTTTTTTTACATCTCTCATGTTCAGGAAGATTTATAAGTCCATCAGAGCTGGGCTTACTGTCCCATCAATGGGAATAATTCACGTCAACTTCACAACAGGGTCTTATGATAAATCACCTACGGAATTAACCGTAACACGCTTTGCTTGCCTTACACTGGGAGCTCTTGAGCTATTTATTACACGTTTCCATACCTAAAAATCTCCTAAGGACAACACTCCCAAGCACAGCTTTAAGCACAGCGTCCTTGTCCCTCAGAGCCGCTGGAATGGCAGCCGGAGACACCGCAGCAGGAGGCCGGCAAGGGAAGGGCAGAGCGCTC